TCCTACAACATTCCTCCGTCATTTCATTAATAATACTACCTGATAAATTACAATGGTCCATGTCAATATGGATCAGGTGTGGAGAGACCTTAAAAAGGTGAGCTAATGCTCTTCCTCTGATTGAAGATAGGGTAATCCTACTGATGTCTATCCTCTCCCAATTCAATGTCTTATTCACACCTATTGAGTCAACCAGCTTTTCAAGATGATCAGATGTGAGTGAGTAATCACTCCATTTTAAGGTATCATGAGGCCCAACAATCACCCTAATTAACTCAGCAAGTGATTTACTATCAATATCTGAAAGGTCATTGCCCTTCAATCTAAGCATGTTGTCTTTCAATACTACATTCATCCTACAACATTCCTCCATCATTTCATTAATAATACTACCTGATAAATTACAATGGTCCATGTCAATATGGATCAGGTGTGGAGAGACCTTAAAAAGGTGAGCTAATGCTCTTCCTCTGATTGAAGATAAGTTAATCCTACTGATGTCTATCCTCTCCCAATTCAATGTCTTATTCACACCTATTGAGTCAACTAGCTTTTCAAGATGATCAGATGTGAGTGAGTAATCACTCCATTTTAAGGTATCATTAGGCCCACCAATCACCCTAATTAACTCAGCAAGTGATTTACTATCAATATCTGAAAGGTCATTGCCCTTCAATGTAAGCAAGGAGGTATAAAAATAAGAGGTATAATAATTATTTTTATACCTCCTTGATGTAAGCATGTTGTCTTTCAATACTACATTCATCCTACAACATTCCTCCATCATTTCATTAATAATACTACCTGATAAATTACAATGACTCATGTCAATATGGATCTGGTGTGGAGAGACCTTCAAAAGTTGAGCTAATGTTCTTCCTCTGATTGAAGATAGGTTAATCCTACTCATGTCTATCTTATGCCAATTCAATGTCTCATTCACACCTATTGATTCAACCAGCTTTTCAAGATGATCAGATGTGAGTGAGTAATCACTCCATTTTAAGGAATTATGAGGCCCATCAATCACCCTAACTAACTCGGCAAGTGATTTACTATCAATATCTGAAAGGTCATTGCCCTTCAATGTAAGCATGTAGTCTTTCAATACTACATTCATCCTACAACATTCCTCCATCATTTCATTAATAATACTACCTGATAAATTACATTCACTCATGGCAATATGTATCAGGTATGGAGAGACTTTAACAAGTTGAGCTAATGTTCTACCTCTGATTGAAGATAGGTTAATCTTACTCATGTCTATCCTTGTCAAATTCAATGTCTCATTCTCACCTATTGATTCAACCAGCTTTTCAAGATGATCAGATGTAAGTGAATAATCACTCCATTGTAAGATAATATGAGGCTTGGTATGCCCTTGTAAGTAATTATCTAAGGGGTGATAAGGCTCACCAATCACCCTAATTAACTCAGCAAGTGATTTACTATCAATATCTGAAAGGTCATTGCCCATCAATCTAAGCATGTTGTCTTTCAATACTACATTCATCCTACAACATTCCTCCATCATTTCATTAATACTACTACCTGATAAATTACAATATCTCATGTTAATATGTATCAGGTGTGGAGAGACCTTAAAAAGGTGACCTAATGTTGTTCTACTGACTAAAGCCAAGTCAATACCTTGTATATGCAGATGTATTAATTTTAACTTTACATCAGCCTTGTTTAACTCATTGATAACCAAACTGAATTCAGATGCTGTACACCAATCTTTAATATGCAATTCAGATAGGCTATTTGCATGTTTTAGGAAATGAATCAAAAATGATGAACTACAATTAAAGTCTAAGTCGATAGAAGTGTGATTATATGTTAAATTTAGGTTTTTCATCTCAGCTGATAGAATATTGATTTCTTTATCCTCCCATTTTGAAATATATCTGAAAAAATCTTTGGTTTTATATACCCTTGGTAGTACAACTGTGTTGTGTACAATATTTCTGCAAGAATTTCGTAAAGATTCTTCATTGGATGTATTTATCACTGGAAATGCTTTCTTTACATCATAGTATCTAAGGTATTTATATTTTTTCATAAGTCTAAATAAATGCACATTTGATGTGTCTTTATAATCAAGCACACTTCTAACAGACTGGCACATTTGTTCACAGCATGCTTTCATTTCATTGGACATGTGTTCATCCAATTCCTGTAGTACATGCTCTTCATGATCCTTCTTTACATGTGAGAAACATTGCGCTATAGAGTAAAAATTTGAGGCCCTGATTATCAACCAACGTTTAAACAATAGACACGCATCTGCACCAAGGAATCCTATTGTAAATACTCTTGTCATTTGTAAATACTTATTACATCTTATCACCTCATATTCTTCAGCTTTCAAGCTCCCTTTTTGGATTTGTTCAAACAGGTAAAATCCTGCTAGTGACTCTGAAATTAATTTATGTGGGGTAGTGTAAATCTCTCTTACATCACCTGGTTGAACAGGGCTATCTTTATAAACAAATCCAAGTTTGAGAGCTAAATGTACCAAATGTTTATCATTTGCTTTGTTTAACAAAAAATATTTGTCAATGGACAGTTTATTTTTCTTTAGACCTTCATATACAATTTCTCCTAATATTTGAATGGCATGCCTGTATTTCTCAGGAATTCTCTCAAACTGGGAAATGGAAGTTCCACTGCCTCCTCTGTTTTGATATTGATTTAAATTGGAACAAAATAATTCCTTGAAAAGATCTGACAAATTTGTAGGAAGACATTTCTTATTTTCCCATATGGTACAAATATTAAGCAATAATAGTGGAGATGAGCATAATTCCAATGCTTCTTTGTGAGTACCACTAAACGATAGATCCTCATCCCCATAAAGATAATAATAATCATCATAATCACCATCATAATTATACTGTGAAAAATAAATTTGACTTACATATTTAACACTACCAATACCACCATTATAATAATCATTATCAAGTCCAAACTCCCTAATTAGTGAGTCACCAATTTCAGCTTTTCCAATTGAAACAAAATGCTTATGTATATATTTCTTTATGTTTCTTGGATTGAATCCCATTACTTTAATATGTATATCACACCATTTAAAAAAGTTACCTATGTTGTCAGGTCGGGAAGACATCAACACAGTGCATTCACCCAATTCAGTTCCTTTGAATAGATCTATTGGATCTTTAGCACCCTTTTCTAACTCATCATATCCATCTAACAAAATCACTATTTCATCAGCATGGGTGACCAGAAAGTCTTCAACAGAATTGGGTGGCAATTTGTTCTTTGATATTAATGTTTGCAAATCAATTTCCTTCATAATTATGTCTAAAAACTTTTCACCTGTTTTTAGGTCTCTAATATTTATCAGAAACAATAATTTATTAGCGAAGGCATTATCTACAACATCAGTAGCCCACTGATGAGCAATATATCTGATGAGTGTAGTCTTACCCATTCCTCCTTTGCCTGTTATTAATACCTTACAAGATTCTCTTGATTTAATAACACCTAATACCTCTGTTAAAGATGTGGGACTACCTTCCTTTTGTACTGATGTTGACTTGGCTTTTGATTTTTTGTCTTCTTTTTGAGACTGCATTAAGATGAGTTCAGAGAATACTTCTGCAATATCTAATTCATGATCTTCATGCCAGATTGTTGGTGTCATTTGGTTAACATTCTGATACAATTGTTTCTGCCTTTTATTCAATGAGTCTCTAATAATTAAATCTGTAATAAAATCAAACAAGAAGAATACATTTCTTCTATCATGTGTATTTGTTGTAGAACTATTTGAATCGCTAATAAATCAAACACAATGAATGTGAGCCAACTATTATCAATACCACTGTTAACAGTATTGAATATTATACCTTAAGGAATTTTATCAATATATTTAATTTTGTTGGCCAGCAATTAGTTTAGAAGATTAAGAAAACATTAAAATGTCAAAGCTCCTAATTAGAGTTGATTGCCTTAATAAGAATAGGAAATTGTCACTGGCAATATTAGTAGGAGAGAGCACATCCATCAAGGCTCTGTATTACAATGTTGGATACAGTAGTATCCAACATAATTAATTAAATGACATAATTTTGGAGACTTCTACAGCACTGGTGTCCACCATTCACTGTTCATGGCACTTTTGCTATCGAGGCTTTACATCAGAAGAAGAGAAAAAAGAAACAGAAAACAAGTAGTTGAGTAGGCAGGTTGTCAAGCACGTATTCAGTCACTGAATGTTTGGAAATCAGCCATTCCTGATTAAATAGAATACAGTGCTTTCTACAATGTTAACAAGAGTATCTTAATTATAACAAATGTCACCATACCTCGTCTTAGCTGTTCCTGGTGCTCTGGGTCTAATGAAATCACATGTTCAGGATCCCTCTGATTACCTTTACAAAATAAACACAATGCTCAAATGATACACATTCATAGAGCAATCATTCCTTAATAAATTTAATTTGTAATGTTTTGATGTGAAATCACCTGGTATAACTCTTATTACATAAGATTGAGGGTGACTACTCATGTTGAATTCCATCCGGTAACCCTGCCCCTCCCCCAATACTCTATCATATAATACTTCCAATAACAAATAGAGGGGATGATTGTAGTTATCACTGCCATTAAAAGTGTGCATGTGTAATAAATCTTATCGACTAGTTATAATTGGTTAGATGTTGTGAAATGATTACTGAATAAAGAGGAAAACACAATTTCCACAAAGTCTAGGTTGCAGGCTTAATAAAGGATTACATCAGAAAATTAGATGTTTGGGAATTTTTAATTTGTGTAATCTTAATCAATATTATATTAGAATATGAAATGAAAAAGCGTCATACAGAGCATCCACAGCTGTTTTAAGTTTCTCTTTGTAATAAATTTTTCCTTACAAATTTCTCTTCTCTTTTCTAGATCCATAATTAAACACTAGCTGTCTGCATTCTTTAATGCCTTATTATACAATTGATTAATCTTATGCACATCTGAACAACCTGACACCAAAATAATTTCTATAGACCTAAGCGTTGCTAAGATATGACTGGTATTTTTTCCAAAAACATGATTTTTAGAGTAAAATCTTGATAAGCATTGCGTTTCATGCAAAAACTTGTATTAGAGCGAATATAAATATATGTGTTATGGGCACTTTGACACCAACATTATTCAATAGACTAAAGCATTAGTGATATGGCAATAATATAAAAAAATTAAGGTCAAAGTTAACAGTGCTCAAATCAGATTTCTAGTAACTTTCATATCCCCCATAGTGTTCTACCACCATACCAAAGGAAAAATTTGTATTCACTACTGTAACATCATTTGGCTTAGAGACTGGATTAGTACAATTCAAAGGCTTCTCGCTGTAGAAAGGGAGTATAAAGTGGATTGTGTTTGGAGAAGATTGTCTCTTGTTTATTCTGTTTTCAAGTGTTTGACAAACTGGGACTGTAGTGAAAAAGTGGAATAAATTGATGTTAAAATCCGAAATTGCAGTGGTCACAATAAATATTCTGCCTTTTTACTACAACCCTAAGCAGGATTTTTATTTATTTATTCAACTTTCTTTATACTGCATGGCACGCTCAATGCAAATGCATTGGTTTTCGTTGTGGTCCAGTTATAACATAAAAAATACAAAAGTGATAAAATGAAAAGGAATATATAAGGAAATTTTAACAAAAAGGACTTAACCACAAAATAGAGAGATTAATTATTTTAGAGCATTTAGAGGTATTTTGATTTAAATTCTGGAAATCCCTAGTTATGTTACTAGGTAGTTCGTTCCAGTTCATGGATGCTCAATAGTGAAAGGTCCGTTTTCCTTGACAAATGTTCCACTGTGGAACTAAAAGATGATTATTTGTCTGACTTCCGAGTATTTTTATTATTTTTGAGAAAAACAAACATTTTAATTAAATAGGAAGTCCTTGAAGACATTTAAAAGTTATGAATAATAATTGATCTCTCCATCTGTCATTCAGAGTTTGCCAGTTTAACACTTAAAATATCATTAATTGGTGTTCTAATGTTACATGAAAGTAAAATTCTTTCTAAGGTGTTTAAAAGAACTTGTAGGTTATTAGTCAATTGGATGGAGCAGTTTGACCATACACATGAATAATAATCAAATAAAGGAAAATCAAAGTTTTAGCCAGCATCTTAAGAATAAATCGAGGTATAAAATATCTGATACGACGGATGACACCAATTCTTTTAGATACTTTAGAAGAAGGTTTCAATGTGTTTATTCCAAGTAAGCTGTGGGTCAAAAAGTAACGCCCAAGTATTTAAAAGAATCAACTCTTTCAATAAAATTATTGTCATAGCTCACAGTCAAATTATTATATTTAGAAATATTCTGTGTTGTTCCAAAAATCATAAATTTAGTCTTTTTAATGTTTAGTGTCAGGTGATTTTCATTAAACCAATTAACAATTTTGTCAAGATTATGCTTTAATTCATTCTGAAGTGTTAGTGGGTCCGATGAACTACATAGCAAAGTGGTGTCATCAGCGTACATAACAGATTTACATGAAATACTGTTTGGGAGAGAATTAACATAAATTATAAAAAGCAGCGGTCCAAGAATGGATCCTTGTGGGATACCAATACAAACATTTTTACAATCTGACTTATCAGAATTGATACAAACAATATTGTGTCCGATTACTTAAATATGAATTAAACCACTTATACCATATTTTCTGAGTTTATCAATTAAAATTACATGATTGACTGTGTCAAGGCCTTTTTCAGATTAAGAAAAAGGGCTGCAGTTACATTACCTTTGCCAGTGTTTTTAAGAATATAATCAGTGACATCAAGCAAAGTGGTTTGAGTAGAGTGGTTTTTCTTTAATCCAGATTGAGATTCGTTTAGGATATTATTTTTTAGTAAAATAATTATATAATTGATCATGAACCTCCTGTTCAAGGATCTTAGAAATCATAGGTAAGACGGAGATGGGTATATAGTTATTTGGGTAACTCTTATCACCTTCCTTAAAAATAGGGGTGACTTTGTCATGTTTTTAATTTTTTTCTTCTTTGAAATTCATTTAGGCCTACAGTTCATGTACTGTACTATGGAAAAAAGGTCCATGCTATCAAAGAAGCCCATCATTCTTTTTGAGATGGGCTTTTTTTTAAGGCTACTTTGCAAACTAATGTGAGGGCTTCAATTCGAGATGTGTTTCTTTTCAAGATTAAGCCCATTGGGCTTCTTTTCAAGGTTTTACAGTATTTTTCATGGCATTGAACACAATGAAAATTGATTCCCCCATCATTAATGGAATGGGCCCTGTCATGTTTGGCTGTCTAGTTTTGATTTACATTTCACATGTCTAGTTGTCATTGTAAAATGTAAATCAAACCAGTCATACTTGGGTGGTTTTTGATTTACATACTGGAACAGAATTTGGCAAGTTCGTTTTAATCATGTCAGACCTACCTTTTCAAACTTGAATTACATTTTAAAGAAATTGGAACTACATTTTGGAAAAGTTGAACTACGTTTTGAAAAATTAGAACTTTGTTTTGGAAAACTACACCTACATTTTGAGAAATTAGACCTATGTTTAAAAAATTAGACATTGAATTTTGCATTTACATTTCAATTTTAACATAGACTTTTGCTGCATATGGCACTCCATAGTTAAGTTCACATCAAGCACATATAAATTCATATAAAGTGAAATAAATACCTTGTGTAGCAGGTAATTGATTTGTGTTATTAAATATGTTAATCACTGAGTCAGTAAAATTGCTGTTGACAAATTGACATCCAATCGTAGTACCTAAACAACAAAAAAATTCAAATTAGCTCAAGCTTAATTCAAATTTTATTCTTCTGGCAAATTACAGACAAGCCAAGGATCAAAAGCAGTCGAAAGGATAACAGAATGAATTATATTTTACATAAATAAATATTTGTATTTAAATTGATTGATTTCTGTATGAGTACTGTATACTAATATAATTTCTGTAACATTTCAAATAATAATTTTCATTGTGGTAACATGTATTTCATAATGGTCAAAAATAAGAAATACACCATTTTTACCAAATTTGAAAGAAACTTTCTGAGAACCTGGGAACTACCACTGGGGAATTTCCAGAGGCCTAGCATTTTGTTTTATGTAGTTACCATCATGGATTGTAAACGATAAAACTAAATTACTAATGAGTACAAATATTTTTAAAACAGAAAAAGAATGAAATGTTGATATTAAAAACAAGTCTTAAAAAGATAATTTACTGTTCACATACAGTTCAAGATATAATCTTCCCTGGATGACTAGACCCCTCAGACGTCTTGTTAGAAGAAAGCGGAGAGCCTTTCATAAGGCGAAGCGCAACAGTTGTCACCAGAACCGGGAACACTATCGTGCACTTAGGAAATGTGTCCAGAAGCGATTAAGGAAAGCCGAACAGGAATATCTTTCTACCACAGTTTTTGACTCTCTCTGCTCAGACTCAAAAAAGTTTTGGTCCTTCATAAAACAAAGGCGACGTGATTCATCAGGCATTGCTACCTTATGGAATGGCCGTAATTTTGTGAGTTCAGCAGTGAGAAAGCCGAGGCCCTTAGTAACCAGTACAAATCGGTTTTTACAGGTCACGGACGGTTACCCATTTGCAATGGTAGAAAGCTTCCTCAAGTCCTTGAGTTGGAGATCCAGAATGATGGGATACTTAAGCTTCTCCAGAGATTATCCCCACACAAAGCCCCGGGACCAGACAGCATACACCCGTGGATTTCATCTTTTCTCATCGGCAGAAAACAGACTGTCAACATCCAAGGAATTGCAGCAAAACCAGTGACAGTCCTCTCAGGAGTGCCCCAGGGCACAGTTTTGGGACCCCATTTATTTTTATTATACATTAACGACCTGCTAGATGGGCTCAAGTCTGAAGTTCGCTTGTTTGCAGACGACTGTATTATCTACCATCCTATTACATCATCATCTGACTGTGAAACAATCCAAAACAATCTGAAACACCTTGAGAAGTGGGAAAAGAAATGGCTTATGTCCTTCAAGCCTGAAAAATGCAGTGTTTTGCGATTCAGTACAAAGAGAAACATCTTTAAATTTTCTTATCGCTTATCTGGTCATGTCCTTCAGCCCCTCCACCAACACAAACATCTTGGAGTAACTCTATCTACTGATATGAAATTAAACCCGCATGTAGACGGGGTAGTCATTAAAGCCAATGGCGTGCTCGGATTTCTTCGGCGCAATTTAGGCAATGCTCCGCAGCATGTTAAAGTCCAAGCATATAAAAGCCTGGTTCGACCACACGTTGAATACTGTGCAACATTCAAAAAGTTGAGGCTGTTCAAAGACGCGCGGCTCACTTTATTACCAATAACTATACGTGGGACTCCTCTGTTACCGCTATGCTTAAAGAAACCAACCTTCCTCCACTTGTTTACAGACGTAAAGTCAACAGACTTGTTATGATGCACAAGATTGTTCATCAAAATACTGAACTAAAGCTTGATAACCACCTAGAATTCAACAGACGAGCAACTGCTGCTAGGGGCACAAGGAACCATAACCCACTTTCATTAAAGACACCGAAGGCCAAGACAAATCGCTTTCTTTATTCTTTTTTCCCCCAACACAGCTAAAGACTGGAATGCACTCCCTTTTTCTTCTACTTCAATCAATAATTCTACTGCCTTTTGGAAGCTCATTGGTAACTCCGACTAGTCCCTCCTCTGTCACCACTATCCAAACATTGAGTGATACTCCAGCCGGAGTTTTTCAATTACTCTATCAAGATCAAGTAAATTAGCAAAAGATCGTATCTGTTGTCTGCTATCGGCACTATCTGATACTCAGTGCTCTATTCTACTAGGCAGCTGCTGCTCAGGCTAGGAGACTGCTGGAAGTCTCACAGTGAAAAGTTGCGAGACATTGGTGGTGCTGTTTCAAAACAGACCAAATAAAATGGTGTATAAATAACTCAAAGAAAATAAACTGATGTAGAGTTTAAGCTTGTCTCATGTTGACCCCAACTTAAAGTTAAAAAAAAAAGAAGTAATATCTGTATATATAAACAATAATAAGCAATAACTGCAAAAATAATATTAAAAAATAATAATATTAAATAATAATAATATTATAGGTGTAATAATAATATTGAATAATAACAATAATTATAATTTGTAACTGATTAAATACTAGGATTGGATATATCCCAAACATTGTACGATGTAGTCTATTAATTTATTCAGAATGTTTAAAGTTATCAGTTAGGTTCACACTAGAGCCCTAGTATCTGGATCAGGAGCTAACCGTTAGCACCCGTGTGAGAACACTCGATCGGTTATTGCTAACCATACCAGGTATTATTGAGCGCTATTGGTCAGCAAGTTGAGCACGTTTCTATCATTAACCAATCACACATACCAGTACACATTTCCAATTTCCAGTTTCCTATTGGCCAGTGATCCCACCGTCATCTTTTTTATATCTGGATCATGGGTTTTCTTGTATGAACGCTTGTAAGTTATATATGTGGATCCTGCTAACCGTTAGCTAGTGTTTGTGAATATAACCATTCCTAGCTAGATCAGGCAAAGATTATCACCGCATGCAGCAAAATACAGTAAGGAATACTGTCACCCAATGAGGCTTCTACAAATTATGTCTGATTTTAAATACCACTTTAATGCCAACAAGGCCTATAGGTCATTAGATCAAGCACATATGGAACACATACTTAGCTCCATGGAGAGAATTCAATAATGTAGCTGCAATTAGCGCAGTTGTGTTCAAACATACCAGGTAACCACTGGTACTCATGGGTGGAGAGAGACAACCATGTAAAGTGAGGGATTCAGCCTATGGCACCCCTCCCCTATCTAAGTAATAAGAAGAATTTCTAAAAAAAAATTTAAATATCCAGTATAAATTCAATTAATTTTAGTTACATTACCATTACTGCTTTGAACCATATTGTTTACCATGCAAACATTGTCTGAAAACAAATGCATCGATTCACTGGTAAATGTTTTTGTCTCAAAATCTTAAATCCTTCTTCACTAGTAATACAAAATACATATAACATACATAATACAATAACATATTGATCTACAAATAGTTCAAACATATTCATATTGACAACAAATATTATTTTATTCATTACCGATAAGTCACTATATTTCTGATGCTGTGATTATATTGTACAAAGCTATGTTTTACCTGTAAATCCTGGAGAAATTTGCATTGCCTTCTCAATAGCACTGGCCACTGCTAACTGATCTGCTACCAAACAAAAAATAATTCAGTTAAACACTGGTGAGGGCCGAGAAGAGGGCTCTAGACTTGCAATTTTGATAAACAACTTTAATTGTGGAGGTAAATGCTAATTATCCTATTGAAATTGAAAATAAGATTAATAATACAACTAAAGCATGGACCTGTAATATTTCTATTTGCTTATTAATTTCACACACAACACAGAAGAAGTTTTTGAATTCACTGATGTTATTGGCAAATTTCAGTTTCTAAACAAGGTATACTGACTGACATTTTGTTGGGAGATGTTGTCCTACCTAACCCTCTAAAACTTCACTAAATGTCAGAGGACTTACAAGAAGAAATGTAGAAAAATTTTTAACTTTAGAAAAAAATAAATTTTGAACACAATTTGTCAACCACCTACCACCAATTTCATTTATTAACAATTGTTGTTTTTTCTAAAAAGGTATGAAAATGCTCAGGCCCAAATTGCATTTGAGATCTATTTTTGAAGCGAACTGGTCCACCACTATTCACAATGTCACAATATTATGGGTCTGATACAAATATGTAGGGTTATCCTGGGGCGCTGCCTTCACCGCCATAATCAAACAATGTATAGTAAGCCTTTTAAAATGAAATAATTATTACGTGAAAGCAGTTGACATAATTTAGTTCATGTGCCAGTATTTAGGGTTTTTGATGGTCAGACCCAATCCCAAAGGTCATCTTATATGTAACTTTTTGTAATGGTCTAACTATAGAGTTATGATAACAATACTAGAGGGCTAACTTCAATGCATTCAATGTTCTAAACACGCAAAGCTGCGTGTGTGTGCCATCAAGATGGCAGTCGTAGATTCAGCCAATAGGAAGCATCATTTTCAATGGTGCCCTCAGTTTAACATAATTTTGAACGAGCCAAATGGCCGAGCGGTTAAGGCAGGGGCACTGTGATCATAGCCAACAATATCGGCACAGGTTCGCAGCCCACTCGCTCTTATAGTTCTGGTGGTGGAACAAGTCTTCTCGGATAAGGACTATAAACCGTAGGCCCAGTGTACACAATTGCTCATGTGCACTTTAAAGAACCCAGCACATCTTTCGAGTTGAGTAGGGGGTTACTCCGGTGTACTGGTTCACTCGGCCCGTCGTGGACAGATGAAAGTGCTCCAGTTTAATGGCTGCGGTGGACATGAAGTGACCCTCAGGGGAGGAGAAAGCTATTGAAAAGTGCAACATCTAGTCCCGAGTACATAGAGACCTCGTTTATTTGCGCTATATAAATCCATCTATTATTATTGTTATTATATTAGTTTTTAGTACAGCTTAGTTACCCAGATGTCGAAAATTGAGCGTTGCAGTGTACCATATACGATTTAGATTTCTGTTCCTCAGTACAGTACTATATTTTTAAACCAGGTACTCTACTTGGCTTCATTTTGAGTAGGCTAGTTTAATATGTATCAACATTATTAATAATAATGATTAAAGAAATAATAGTTGGCAGTCTTAATTATGGTTGTAATATGTATAATACTAAGCATGAAGGTGGCGCTATTCTACGGCGGCCATCTTGTTAAGTACACACACACAACTCTGCATTGCTTTGTCGCCTAGTTAGCACTCTAGTTGATATAATACTGTAGCTCTATGTAGCAGACCTACATATGCCATGTGGTGGTCTTATGTCTGCTGCCCTCAAATTTTGATATCTAATTACAGATCCAATCACTCTCATATTTTTTCTTACATATATCCAGACATTAATGTTACAAGAATTGTTTAAAACAATTTCTTCTTTGGAGATAATACATTTTTCTGATTATGATTCTGAATATCGTTAATCCTATGCTAATGTGTTTTCCAAAAACATAATACACGTTTAAAAGACAATCTTCCTGTAATGCGTTTGTGTGTTTCAACACTTGATGATGTACAAGTGAACAATGAATAATTATATAATGCAATATTGTACAGCTGTCTCTTATACACATCTAGATGTGTATAAGAGACAGGATATGTATGGTAAAATATTATAATTTTAATTTGTAAAATGTGTAATATTAATGTTTATTAAAAATGAAATGTTTTTGTTTTGTGCTTTTCCGTGACTATTATTTTAATATTGTCATGTTTTTCTCATACTCTTAATTATGTAAACTCACAGGTTTGACTTTTGATTTAATGTGAGGTTTTTATATAAAATAAATAAATAAATTATAACGTAAATTTTTATTTTATAACGAAATGTTATTTGCTGTCTCTTATACACATCTAGATGTGTATAAGAGACAGTAACTTAACATTTCATTTTAAGCATGTTAAGTACAGTATTGTACCTGTCTCTTATACACATCTAGATGTGTATAAGAGACAGGATGTGATGACTGTCCTGATATCAAAAGATGTCTTCACTGTCAACTTACTTATTTCTGGTTCCAAGCCAAATGGCTTAGTGACATTGATAATATCGTACAGTACTGTTGGATCTGTGGGACTCAGATGTCCAGAGGCACATAATAATTCAAACAATTCAATCACGTTGGTGGCAGCATATAGCTTATCATGTTCAGTTACAAGATCTCTATACAAAACCTTCAGCATAGCGATGTATCCATGGCAATCATACCATCCTGACATGGATGATAATATTTCTCTGAATTCATTATCAGAGATTCCTAAAAATGAATAAATAAATAAATTACACAATTTTTATTTTTTAATGGTTAGATCTCTGATAAGGCAGGATTCGTTTTGCCTTTTCCAGGCAGTAGTCAATTCAGGGGTGGCGCCTAGTGGTGGGGGGGGCCCCCCCATCTGTCGGGGAGAAAAAGGACAATTTGTCCAAGCGGGGGCCCCCACCCGTCAGAGAGAAAAAAAATTTGTCGGCGAGAAAAAAAAATTATATGTATTTTCTACATTATTAGTAAAATCGAGTAAATAATCCTTCTTTCTTTTTGATGTAGAATCTAATTCACTACCTGTTAAAAAAAGAAATTAGAAATTAGAACATTAACATCACCTACCGTAAAGCACAGCACAAATACATAAAAAACTAAAGATAAGCTTAGCAAAAAATTCAATACTGTACTAATAAAGAACATTTGTAATAGACATAATAATAAGTAATAATATAATGAATAATGATAAGCAATATTGGTTCAGGCCTACTGTCTAGGCAACTCCAAAAGAACTACATTTTCAGTCACTTTATTTATTACAATAAATTTCTGTAGCTCTGAGGATATAATAGATATCTGTAGTGGTGTATCCAAGGGGGTTGCTGAGTAGTATTACATTCTAATTATGAATGCTATGAAAGATAAATGCACAAAAATTGACTAGTAAAAGAGACGTATAAATAAAAAAGAATTTTGTTCAGATAATATGCATTTCTTGCCAAATTAATGCTTGTATAAAGTACTTAGTTTGCATTTAATTCAATTAACTTATTAATTCTTTTTTTGAACAAACCATGGGTGCTCAGGCACCCTGGCTACTCCCGCTGAATACGTCATGTGACGGTATCTGTACTAATAAGTTAAATTTATTTTATCTACATGCTGAATACACAGGTTTGACAAGGAATGCTCCCCAGGGAGGAAGGAGGTTACACATTGTGTTGAATTCTACACTTTCCCCATGAGTAATAGTGGAAGGTACTACAGGAATATAATAGCCATATATTACTGTGTAGGTTTATAATTGTCAACAATTTTTGTTTATATTTTACCTGATTCATTCATCTTTCTTGGTGTTTAACACTTCTGAAAGGAAATGAATAACTTCAATTAAACTGATGAGCTTCACAAATTTTTACAATACAGTAAAATTTACAATACAAAATTGATTTCCGTATTATTTTCAAGATACAGTAATTAAACGGAACTGACATTTGAGGGGGGAACAATTAAACGGAACTGACATTTGAGGGGGGAACCGGAGCAGGAGGGCAGTGATAGCATCAGAAACAATTCCAAAACTACGGTTGATAGATTTGGTCATCTGAAATGACTTTGACTTTTTTATAAATATAAGCAAGGAGAATGGTTCTTGCATGATATTGTTTTACTATTTATTTTTACATAAAAAAATTATGCATGTCAACAAAGCATTTGGGTAATCAATTTGTTGTTGATGCAGCCGAGAATGTGCAGTGAGTCTTTTTATAGGGAAAATTCTCTCCAGCACTTTCCCAATCAAAATTGTTGCAGAGGATCCTGATAGTAATGGTAATAGACACAATGTTGGATCAAGTGACCTTCAATGGATACAAAATTCCAACAAGGTATTTTCATGTATGCATCATCTTACTCCATTTTACCAAAGTATTTCTGTGATATTTGCAAACTCAATTCAAACTGATGTTTAGATTCCAAATCATAAGACAAATTATTTCCAACATAATATTAGATTTATTGGAACTAAACTATGGAATCCCTTACCTCCCTCAGTTGCCGATGCCATTAATAAAGATCATTTTCAATCCAGCTAAAGAAACACCTTATATCTAGTTATTAAACTTAAGTAAATATTGGTCCTTTTTATCCTCTTACTTTTCACTATAATTGTGTTCGGTTTCTTGGTATAATTTGAATTGTTTGCTTTCTTTTTTCGGTTGTGTCTTCTTTGCCCTGGGTTGTGTCTTCTTTGCCCTGGGTTGTGTCTTCTTTGCCCTGGGTTGTGTCTTCTTTGCCCTGGGTTGTGTCTTCTTTGCCCTGGGTTGTGTCTTCTTTGTCCTGAGTTGTGTCCTCTTTCTTTGTGCTTGTTTTTGTGTCCCCTTGTCGTATTGTTTCAGGCTGACCCTCCACAAGAGTTTTTATCTTACTGGGTCTATGTATTTCCCTTTTCCACAGATTGTTTTGATTTTTTATTCTAAAATTGCTTGTATTTAAACTGGAAAAGGAATCAAATAAATGTTACTTTGAATTGAATTGAAAATGTAAAGAGACAGCACCAGTGACGCTTGGTAGTAGGGAAATGCACGATTTCATTGCAGTGTTTCTGTTGTAAGGCACATGGTTTTGTTGAATAATTTTGGTTGGAATACCAGTAAATTATACCAAATTGATTGGAAATTAAACTTGAGAATATTGCCATAATGGTTTGCTAATGACCAAAAAGATAGTGGCCCCAAATATTGAGATATTCGTGAAATGTCAGTCTAGGCCCCTGCATATCTACTACCTGCTCATGTATGCAGGAGTTTTTGATCCACAAACTGTAGTAAGTGGGACAAGCTATATTTCTGGGTTAGTTCAAAGTTCAATCAAGAATCATTTATATTCAAAAGCCTAAAATGCAAGAGAATGCTGGAATAACATAAACACTATTTTGAACAATCGTAATTGCCTTTCCTTGTTTTCATAACCACAACATAACCTTTCCTATACTTTCACACTGGTCACAGTGCAAGTTAAACCCACTATGTACATCACAAGACAACTAATGTTTCTTAGTCACAAATTGTGTCTATTTTGCAACCGTTGAAACAGATACGGGTATGTACAGGTATGTGTATGTATCGGAGACTTACACACTGTAATAGCTTCGATGACTATTAAAAAGTAGAATGACTCTGGGAGTAAACTTCAACACGTCTACTTTATTTCAATACATAACACAGAGTAAATCCCGCCTCAAGCGGTAATACAAATGTAGTGTG